GCGGGAGGGCCGGAGAGGGTTGGGGGGCAGGAGGGAGGGGGGTAAGAGATCAACCGAAGGACTTGTATGCGTGCATATGAGCATAACCAATGGACATAAGACAATGGGGGGTAGGGGAAGCCAGGGGATTGTCAAGGGCAGGGGGAAAAAAAGGACACATATGTAATACCCTTTGTAATACTTTAAGCAATAAAAAAAAAAAGAAAGAAAGAAAGAGCTTTTCTATTTCCACCAGAAGTGTCATTGGGACTTTGATAGGGATTGCTTTGAATCTCTAGGTCACTTTGGGTACTAATGACAGCTGATACTGTTAGCATTACAAAGTAGGATCATGGAATGTGTTTTCCAACTTACTGATTGTTCTTTGATTACAGCCATCAATGTGTGTGTATACGTTTTCTTTTGTTAAACCTCACATAATTCTTTTTTTCCTTGAGTTTTAAGGAGAGTGGTAGGGAGAGAGGGGTAGAAACAGAGATAGAGAATAAAATTACAATGTGAGAGAGACACATAGTTTGTTTCACTTCTTACATGTCCCAAACGGGGTTGAAATCGAACCTGCAACCATTCGGTGGAGGGCAGGGCCCCATGCTTAACTACTGAGACACACTGCAGGGGGCAGTCAGTAATATTTTATACTTTACAGCATAGAAGTCATGCACCTTCTTAGGAAGTAAACTTAATATTTTCTTTTCCATTATGCTGGTAATCTTGTAAATACATATTTAATTTGTTATTCTGTATTAATTTCTGTTCCTGTACAGGGACACAGCTAACTTCATTGGTTGGTGTTATATACCATGTTTTGAGAAATGAGTTACATATATCTATATAAATATGTATATATATTTTTAGAAACGTGGAGTCTGTGATTTCCAATACAGAATTCTGTCACCTCTTAGCAGAGTTTATTTTATTTATTTTCTATTTTTCATTGTCACCATGGAACAACTTAAAATACCTTTTTTAAAAAAAAATATATTTTATTGCCCTAACCAGTTTGGCTCAGTGGATAGAGTTTTGGCCTGCGGACTCAAGGGACCCAGGTTCGATTCCGTCAAGAGCACGTACCTTAGTTGCGGGCACAACCCCGGTGGGGACTGTGCAGGAGGCAGCTGATCGATGTATCTCTCTCATCGATGTTTCTGACTCTTTATCCCTCTCCCTTCCTCTCTGTAAAAAAATCAATAAAATAAAAAAATGTATATATATAACATATATATATATATTTTATTG